TGCCAAGCGACGAAAACCCAACCCAGATGGCAAACACCGGGGGGCGGGCGGCTTGTTTTACAACGTCGTTGCCAAGCGACGAAAACCCAACCCCGATGATAAACACCGGGGGGGACGGGCTGTTTGGGGGGGGGCGTCGCGAAAGTAGTTGACAAATAATGCTTCAAGGAATACAGGCAGGACGCCGGTCTCCAGAGAACATCGCCTACCGAGTGCAACTACAAATAGTCTGCCATGCTCTCAACTCAGGCATCAGGCATCTGTGGCACGCTCTGCAGACGAGAAGAAAACACTGCAGGCTACCACTGCCTGCTGTAATAGGCTCTACAGGGATCGGATGGTAGCCAAGTCCAAGGTCAGCTGGTCGTTGCTTCTCCGCTCCGCCGGGCTCTGTCCTCTTGACAAGCGCGCCAACCCCGGCCCGCCCTCACCCGGGGACCGTCGCGTACAATCTTCAGAAGAAGCCTTTTTTTTAACGAAGCCCTCCGTTCCTACTGTCGTGGCTGTTGCTACCCCTTGAGTCTGCTCCCTGCCGCTGCTCCCTCCAAAGTCCGACTGCGAACGAGTCAGTCCGCGGCCCCCCCTCCTCGCGCTTCCGCTTGTAGCGGAGAGAAGCCTCTCTGCAAAAACCGACCCGGCACCCCGACCACCTGTTTCCCCACTACCCGTGTGCCTTCTGCTACCACCACCCGGACTTGGCGATCGCATGGGGGAAGACTTCCTGAGTGGTGTGCCTGTACCCACTTCCGCCTTGTGCTCCCGGCTCCGTATGGTCGGGGCGCTGCGCGACCCGCAGAGCCGCTTGTAGGGTGCGATCCCGGCAACAGTCGCCCCACCTCCACCCCCACCGGTGCTGTGGTTTCCGAGCCCGTTCGGCACGACTCGAAACACGGTGTCCGAGGCACCTGGCGACGAGTACGACCGTTGACCGCTGTTTTCTTGTCCCTGCCTTAGCGGAGGAGCATCATCGCCTGGTGCGGCCGCCGCTGCGGCCGCCAGTCGAGCCGAGGTCACCTTGCGCGGTGTGTAGCGCCCTGGAACGCACGTTTCCACTAGACCCTCGACGGCGCACGTCTTAGCGGGGTCGTATATTGATTTTGAAAACATGTCGTTGGCACCTGCCGACGCGAGATCGGCAGTTCCTATCCCGAGGAGGGTGGACTTTTTGGGCTTGATGAGGCCCTCTCGCTGCAGGAGATCCTGGCGCTCGTCATGGTTCTTGCCGCTGCAGTCATCACCAAACGGGGCAATAAAAAGATTGTTAGAGGATTGCAGAACGAGAAGGCCAGGGGAGTTTCCAGATTGATCTTCTAGAATATCAGCCCTTATCGTGTGTGTGTACAGCGTTCTTAGATGTTGGTAGACGGTAGAGGCAACAACGGCTGCCGAGGGGTCGTCGCTACACTAGGCCAGTCCCGGATCAAATGACCAAGAGGAGTAGCCAACCCATGTGCTACACAGCAGCATGCGCCAACCACACGGCTCACCTCCAGGCAGGTGCGTGAAATTTATACTCCGAATCACGGAGGAGAAGGTATTCCGCGCGCTCCGCTACTTCCGACAACGACCCCGTCTCCCTCTGCGAAAGAAGTGACAACACGTCATGTAGTTGAGGAGAAGGAACGGCACGCCACAAGGCTCTCGCGATAATTAAAAATTCGGGTTCAGCCGCTGTATACGTCCCCGTGGCGTCGTTTTTCAGTTGTTACCTTTCTCGTCGCAGGCAGGCTACACAGTATCACGATCGTTCCACGGAAAATAAGAGCCTGGTCGACTTGTGGGTGTCGCATTGCCTGTAGCAGCACGTTTGCGGCTGTTACTACCACCATGCATACACGAAACGCAAACGCTCGGCGTGGAGTTTCGACTCACCGTCCTAGGCTGCACATGGAACGGTGTCGTGCATCGATGATTGGCGTCGAACTGTCCCGTGATGAGGTTTAAACCGTTACGCTTGTCGAGACTGCCAAGTCTCTGCCGCCGCCTTTCGAGGTGGAGCATGCTCAGGTGCTGCTTGAAGGCCTCTCTTTGCAGTCTCGACGCATCCTGCCTGATATTCCACTGCTTCCGCCGTTGGAACCCTTGGTGAAACCGGGTCGTAGAAAGCCCCTTCGGAAACATTGCTCTCTTCTCCCAGAGTAATACACAAACAGCGGGCGTTGATAACAGAAACTATATAAGCGAGTGTTGCTATTCAAGTAGGTATGTCAATTTTACAGCACATACATAAAAAAATGTGCAAGTCTATGATCGGTCTGTTATAGCCTACAGAATGCTTCATTTCCCGCTGTGGATTCGGAGCCCCTCCCAAGGTTCGAGCTTGAGCAAGCGCGCTGGATGAGAAAACTCCCTGGGACAAGGGACGGCAAATTCGGAACCCAACTATGTGCAGGGCTCGTTGTCATTGGTTGCCTTTTGGTTGCCGTTGGGTTACAAGCGAAGTGTACAACTTCACATCTCGATCAGAGCGTGTTCGTCTCCTTCTTGGTGTGACCCAAGGTTCCAAAGCAGTATTCTATATAGTCGCAAGCTCTATTGTTTCTCAGGACACCGCTACCTGGCGGACGCGAAGAGCTCCAGAAGGAAGAACCTCCACGCCATCGGAGTTCGCTCTGGAGTAGCTCCTACCGTCGTTGTGGCGAGTATATTCCCATCCGACGAATTCGTGCTTGATCGGAAAGTCGGTCTTCTTGGATGCCGGGTGCTGGCTTTTTGCATGGAAAGCCTGCCATCCAACACGCGTAGTACGAAGCTTTATTAGGAACTTTCTGCCGCAAGAAGCTTGCAACTACAGCAGTACAAAGGTTGTCCTGCAAGCTTCGACACGGCACATGAACATGAACACCCATCTCCAAAAGTCCAGCCACATGTGCTTCCCAGCTCCAGGGTGCTTACCCTCCCCCAGAATGTTTCACCGACGTCCAGGTTCTGGTCAAGGATATCCATTTCCCCCAGCAAATGTGTTCTTCCTTGCCGATACGCTATTGTTTTGCCCCACAAGTCCTACTGGCGTGCCCACAGCATTCTCGATTTCTCGATGGTGTCGGCGGCTCAAAGAGCGGAAGAGATTGAACGCTGTCCGAACCGCCGAACCGGCACGTGGTCTGCGCGCGGACCGGGGAGTTCCACGTTCCACCAACGGATTGACTGATCTGTTTTTAATTCACCAACGGACAACACACGGGCCACCCCGCCCGCGGCGATTATCGCGAAACAGATCACGAGGACCAATCACCACGCCCGTACACGCTAGCAGCAAACAACACACGCACCACATCACGATGGAAGTACCGCAAGAGAACTTCGAACGATTTTCTTACCGCCAGCTGCAAAAAATGGCCAAGAGCAGAGGGCTAAACGCGGGAGGGAAAAAACAGGATATTCTTGCACGTCTCCAAGAGCAGGTGACGATACAGACAGACACCGCTGGCACTCCCAGGGCGCTCGGATAGCTTGATGACCTGTTGAAAGCGCGCTCCGACTGGGCATCGGTTGTGGGGCTCCCCAAGTTAGGCCAGTTGCGGGGAAGAGGTGTTGATTGTTGTTGTTGGTGTTGTTGGGACCGAGCAGCGGGAAACCTGTCATAGGTTCTAGATTCCAAAGCGTACATTGCGGAAAGAGCGGCCCGACTGCCGCTCCGGGCTCAGGTAATGTACGCTCAACTGCTGTCACATATACTTCCCGGCGTCTTTATCTCGCCCCTTTAATAACGACTGCAATCAAACTGCGCACCTCTACGTGATGTGTGAGGTGGTTTGGTGTGGTGGGCACACGCAGCCAATTGCAAAATGGAAGGGCGCGCGGTGAGTGCTTTTTGTTCAGCGGACCATTCCATATCGCACGCACTCGTTTACACTCGACGTTGTTTCTGGTGTCAACCTGCTCCCCCTTGCGCCGCGCGACACACGCAACCTTTCCGTTTCACAGAACGCTGCCCAGCAGAAAGAGAATGCCGTGCCGAAGCCAAAGTGTTCCACAGCACCAAAGCCTCAGCACCAGCCCCCGTCCGGCAAAGAAAATGACACCCACGCCGGCCCGCGAAAGACCAAAACCTTGGCATCTTCAGAGGCATCACCCCGCCTGGTCAAGAAGGCCCTTGGGCAACTATCTCTTAACTCCCCGAGGTTGAATCAGTCGATGGTGATCTCGGGTCACAAGAACAAGCCTCTTTTCAGTCCTGCCGCCGGTTCCCAGAAGGGACAGGTCGACAATTGCAAGTCCTCGGCTGCTGCCGTTGCTGCTGTCCCGCAAGCATCAGCGTCTGCGCCCGAGCCGAAGGTGTCGCCGCCTGCGTCGCCGTCCGGTTCAGCTGGCGGCAAGCTCAACCAGGACGACCATGTCTCGGTCGAATCATCGACGGCGGCGACCACCGAGGATGGCACGAGCGAAGTTGTCGCTGCTGCTGCTGCTGGCATGCCGGTCTCTGAGGAGAAGACGACGAGACAAAATGTCGCCTCCGAAGAGAGTACATCAGCGGTAACAACAGCAGTGGAGGAGGAGCCGGGGCAAGAGACGGCGGCGGCAGTGCAAGGGCGACGAAGCATGATGGTGGTGGCGGCGAACCCTCGTCTCCAAGGGGTGTCTGCTCTGCCGCGCGAAACAGTCGTGCAGGCAAAGCTCTTCGTCGAGGAGGAGGACGATGAGTCGTGCGCGCCGGAAACGATGGAGGAGGGCACTACTGCTGCTGTGGACGTTACAGAAGGTGACGATCTCGCTGGAACTTCTGTCGTTACTCCTGCTGCTGGGGACAAGAAGGACCCAGAGCAGCAGCAACAGCAGCAGCAGAAGGATGATGAAAACATGGCGGCGGACGGCCAACCCGCGGACGTTGTTGACTTGCCTTCGGCAGGCATGAAACAAGACGAAAGCGTGGTGACAATCATGACTATCCCAGAAAAGGAAAACCATGTCACCTTGGGAGCTTCAGCAGCAATCGCGGTTTCCACAGAACCGGCACACATGGAGGAGGAGGGCGACGAGAACCCGGCATCTTGTTTGCGGTCCGAGGAAGAAAGGCAGGGAGAAACCCGGCCGGAGGGCGCGGTAGTTGCTTCCGACGAAGGGCACGATGAGCAACAGCAGGTGAACGAGGCCGGTGCTTGTACCGCCGACCCTGCCAAACAACGGTCAGGTGATGCTCAGGAAGTCCCTCAGGTGGTCATGCAGCCAGCATCGGGGGAAGAAGACGAACAACAGCAACACGTGGTTCTGGTCCAAGAAATTGATGCTGCTTCCGATACCACTCAGTCGACTTCTCCCCCTCATGTCGTGATGCCGGAGGAGGAGCGAGAAGAACGCAATCGTACAAACGATGAGCCGATGCCGTCTGTGCTTCTGCAGAACGAACGTGACGTCGTTCCGCTTTTGCCACCGCAGGAGGAGGACCCCGAGGCGTCGGTGATGCCGTCGCAGCCTGAGGACGACGCCGACACCGCTCCGGTGCCACAGGGATGCGCTGTCGTGACAGAGAACGCGCCCCGCGTAGTCGGCGAGCCTGGATCTTCGAGAAAACTAGAGGCGGCGGCAGACGTCGGGCTCGGCGAGGAGAGGGCCGTCGCCGTACCGGGGCATGCTGGGTTGGTCGTGGACGAAGAAACCAGGAGTCTCGTGGAGGGAAGCAAGTACCTTCGGTTCGAGGACGACGAGAGGACCGTGCTGTGCACCCTCACGGGCAAGAAGCTGGCCCCGGACTACATAGGCATTCTCAACTACATGGGCAGCAGGAGGGTGCAGCAGCTTGTCGTTGAAGGACCCGTATCCATGTCGATAAGCCCATAAGTCTCTGTGATGTGCTTTCGCCTGTTGTAAGGAGCCGAATGCTGACGCAAGCGCGGGCGGTCGAGCAGGTGCGCTCGTTCTTTCTTTTTTCGTGCGATGGTGGATGGAAACCAATCGTAGCCGGGCCTTGACCGGAGGCGGGGGCCTATTTACATAGTGTCGCAGCAGGACTTGGGAAATCAAAGAACACCTGGACGGCAAACCGACCAGTGGAAATGACACCGGTTTTGTATCTCGCCCCATGCTGCGAGGTCAGTTTTGACTCGAATATTCATGGACTATGTAGCAGGACTGGCGAAACATGTACAATCATCCACAGTCCGACTACGCATTGAAAAATGAAACGTGTACGTATTCTTTGTTCGCGCAGCGATTGTTTTAGTGGGCGCGAAAGACGTGCTTCTTGCCCTCGTTGACCACCGGGTCCAAGAGATGACGTGGAAAACCTGACAAGCAAATGACATTGATGTACTTCGCGCCCCCTCCCCTCTCAGCCATAGCGAGCAGCAATTGAAAGCTGATCACACTGCTACAGTTGTAAATTTGCTTGCATCAGCAGAATTGTTTTTACATGTTGACGTCCGTGTCCCGCAACAATAACTGCTTTAAATTCCTGGAACTACAAAATAATGTTATGGATCTAGGACTACGACGGTATGTTCCTGATGGAAGACCCTGCCGACGACGGTTTCGTGTTCTGCAAACTCACCGGCATGCGGATGTTCAAGAGCAAGGCGGCCGTTGACCAGCACATCAATTGCCAGTCCTTCAAGGAGATGATGGCCATGCTCCGCGCAAAACTCGAATCCTAGGTGAGCATATTTCTGAGTGTTTTGTTGTTTTTGGTACTCTTACCGGAATTGGGTAGTGCGTAGTGCGCCGAATGCAGTTGCGGCCGCATGATGGCGCCGGTACGTCTGCTCAAGCATTGTCCAAGAACCGCTTTTTCTTACATACACCCAGGCTGCTCATATTTAACTTCTTGATTGTGTGGTTGACCTCTAGTTAGTCATGCCGTGACTCTGTGCTGCGGTTGGGAGTGGTCGATGTTGCTGAACATTTTTTTCGTGCAGTTGGTGTTTATTGCTCCCCAACTCTCTTTACTTCCTTCCACCCCTCTCTGAAATACCTCCAGGCACACAAAGATGCCAAGGGCCATTGCTCCACACCACGCCTGGCGGACGGGATTCCGATAATCTTACGGCGATCACCTACGCCGAGCGACGACCGTTGGTTGCAGTGCAACCTTCACGCACCGACAAGGGCAGGGATACAGGGAGACGGCCAGGTGTTTCCTCTGCTTTGTCACGACGACATCCTTGACGCGGGCGCTATCTCACTGAAGTATCTCCGCGTGGGAAGGTGGCGTGGGCAGCCGGTTGGCTAGGGTGATGGTATCATGGTTCGGCATGTAATGTACAGTTTGAGCAGGTAGGGAAGAGGGGGTTGAACAGGAGGGTACAGTAGATAGAGACGTGGGCCCCAGTGTGGATTGATTTCCCACGTTGAGTATGGTCCGGTGTTCAAGGAACAGGCGCTGGTTGTAGCGTGTAACCTCCTACATGGGAAGGCCAGAGTCATTGGGTAGGAGTCCTTCCTGTATTTCATGAGGATGCAGTAAGCGTCATTACAACGCTTTTTCTCTTATGGCCTCTTAAAGACTACCACCCCGAGTAAATAGAATTTCCTGTACTCTCTTGATAAATATGGTTTTCAGGATTCACGGCATACTGACGTTGAGTGCTGTGGGACCGGTATTGCACGGTCTCGCTCTCCAAATTTAGTAAGAAAATAGTGAGATAACCGCCCACAACAAGCTATTCCCACAGGTTACCCCGTCTAGAGGACTGCCTACGTTTTTGTTCTCCCCGTCCTGAAATGTATGCAGCATGTTTGTTGCGATCAGATCGGGTTCCTATCGTTCGTAGCGACCGCGTTATGACAGCAGCCCCGAAAAAAATGATAACCAAAATGTGAGAACAGTTTGACATTGGTATTTGCCTTTGTGGGTGAGCAAGAGACAAGGGGTAGGCAAGGGCTAAAATAGGGCGTCATTTCTGGGTAGGTGTGATCCAAATATATAACATTGTTTATCTGTAAGGAGCGAAATTGTGGCGAGCTACTGCTGCTGTAGGAAAAATAGAAAGCCACTTTCGAATTTTTCCGTTTTCTACCTCAGTCCGGTCGGGTATCGTGGGGGTGCGATGAATGGATGAATTAATGATGATTTTCCCTTGTCTTGGCGTCGATGATCAGGCGATCGCATATGGCGGTAGCCGAGGAACATAGACGATGCACGTACATTCGTTGCAGCATAGGCCTGACAGTCAAGAATACACAAGTACGACGCTGTAGCTCTCATCGTTCACGAAACGTTGCTCGGGTAGTCCTGTCTCCCTGGGGACGTACATGCTTTGTATAGATAGGTGGCGTTTTGATCCAGATTTGGACATTGCCACGGCCGTTGTGTACAGAGGGTGACCTTGAAACAGTTGGACGAATGTCCTGTGCAAAGCGTTTTGTCTGTGCTTGGCAGTGTTGCATATCGGTTGTCGACGCAGAACCAGCCGGGCGTTCTATTTTCTTGTCACCCTTTTTTGTGTCTCGAATGTCAGTCTTTTTGCAGTACCGCCCTTAGTGTCGTCTCGGCGTGTTGACCGCTGTTTGCGTGGAAAGCAGTGTAGAAATTATTAGATGCAGCATATCCCGAACAAGCGGAGATGAACACTAAAGCCATCCCGGAAGCTTAGGGATTGGTTGGCAGAAACAATGTAAAGGCAACGTGTGTGGGGGGACAGGTCGAGGCCTGTTGATGTGCAGCAGATCGTGGGAATGGATCAGAACGACGAAACCGATCGTGGCAACAAGATGCCGTCCGGTTGTGTACATGTTGTTCAAGGCAAGAAAATACTGCAAAACTCGGTGGTGGACCCAGACGGGTCCCACTGCACGATACTGTAAGTTGAATCCCCGTCGTGCAGATTCGGGCAGAGAAAAGGAAGCCTTGCCTTCGCCGCTTTGGATGTCTTTATACCATGAGTATTCTATAGTCCACCCAGGGACTTGGAACTACTGCACGAGATTCGACCAACCCGAGTGTGTGCCGGAGGGACAGCATGTTGATGATGCACACAGGCCTCTTCAACGGAATCGGTTCTGACTAAAAACACCAGAGAAAAACTACGGCAGATTTGCGTTTTGAGGAAAAGGAGCCGACCGTCGAGAAAAATCGAACAAATCGCCGTATCACCTCCCCTCTCTTCATGTTTTCTGTCTAGACGAGAATTCACTACTCTTTGCGAACAGAGTTGTGTACCAGCAAAACACTGCCTCTTTCGCTCCTGCCGCTACTGCTGCACTCTCGCCATATTTCTATACACGAACAAGTCTTCTGGACTTGTGGGGGGGGGGGGGCACTGCCACCCACCTTCCCTCCCCACGAAACACAACAATAAAACACACTTAACACCGAGTTTCCGTGGGGCAGCTCTATATCCCCGCACCATGCAAAACACAGCATGCTCTTTACACAGAAACACGCGCGCCGCTGCTACTACTACAAGTACATAGGGGTTCTGATTTGGGCAAACCTCGTTCCCACCCGCCGACACCCATTTTCTTCATTGATATGAAGATTGTCACGCTTCTGCTCGTGGCCGCAGCTCCTCTGGAAGCTCTTGTTCTTCCAGCCAATCACCGAAAGCGTCCAATCGTTGGGCCTAAAACGCGTCCAGCCAATCGGAATCAGAGATGGCAAAGGTTGTTAGCAGAGGAAGGCGGGGGGCAAACATAGCTCTAGTGGCGCGCGGGTCTGAGAAAGCTGAACGACGTGAGAGCAGCACGTGAACTCTTTTTTCGACAAGGAAGGCTCAGGGCGTTGCGAACGGTGGTGTGTGCGGCTGGACGAGATCAGCGGAGTTTGGTAGATCTTCAGCACGCAGTACTAAAGCAGCGATGTCGCTGTTTGGACGACCGAGTTCAGGAGGGGCGGCCAGCGCCTTGAAATCTGCTTGCTATCAGCGAAACCTGCAACACTGTGTGGGGCACAGCACATCGTTGTGTCACTATAATGCGTCTTTCACCAACGCTGCACCCTCTCGTACAACTGACATCTTGCAACAGAGGAGGTAGATTTCTTGAACTCGTAGAATGGCGCCAGAATAGGTGGGACGAAACCGCAACACAAGAAAGTATCCCAACAAGAAGGGCCCTAGCTGCGTTAAGAAGCTGCGAGCAAAAACAGCCCGCCTTTACTTTACTTTACCGTACCTCTTCTTTCTCGTCCTCTTCCTGGACCGTGTAGTTCGTCACTCCATCCCAGAAGTGGCACAACAGCTTGCGGCCGCCGAAAAATCGCCCGTCAAAGACTTTCACGCACTCGGAAGCCGCGTACGCCGTCCCAAACTGCTCGTGATCGGAGGGCAAAAAAACACGCCGCACATTGTACGGAAAAAGGGGGAACCAAGAGTCGCAGGCACAACGGGTTTCCGTTAGATCCGTAGGCTTCTTTTCCAGCTCATTCTGTATTCAAGCATAACTTGGATTTTTCTTGTTCCTCCTGCTTTGACGACGCTCGTGGCAACACTCAGGATACACGCTCCGCACTGTCCTACATTGTTTTTTCTCTTTGGCCTTTCGTCTCTCTCGAGAACTGTTTTTTCAACTACTGTAATGTCTGTCCGAGCGGTGGGACTCTCTTCCTAGTCTTAACATGAAATGCTTAGACTTTGCTTTTGGGTAGGCTTGTGGTCGTTCGATTCTCAACGCGAAAACAAGGATCCCTTGTCGCGGGGCGACGTGGATTCGACACTGGTGGGTGGGTGGGGGGGCGTACTCTCATGTTTTGCATGCCTTAGCGGTTAGACCATTGACCACGCGTCCTCGAGAGGACGGAGCATTGTTCCCACAGGACCGATCACCGATGGCCAATCGTNCATCTCCCTGTACGTCCCATCTATTTTTCCCAGCTCAGTCACGTACACTTCCCTCTCCTTCTTGTACAACGGACATTCCGCTACTACATGAACACGGTATTCGCATTCGAAGCCGCAATCACATTTGCATTCGTCGTCTTCATCGTCTACCGTCCTATGTCTTCGTCGACGTTCTCGAAGGCCTATGTCCCGGGTCCTGAATATGACCTTGAGCTTTGTTCCTGCATCTATTGGTCCATGTA